TAAGTTTATATAATGATTTACATACATATTATGTGATGAAATATGATTGAATCAAAATTTCTTCAATAAAAAAATTATATTCCACACTTTCTTCTCAAATGTAAACCATTGTGTAACTGCTTATATACAAATATCATTATTCTTTCTGCACATGTTATATATTTCGGAGAACATTCTGGTTTTCTGTCACCACTTTGATAGGTAAGTTCATTTGATCTCAAACGCTACAAGTATAGTCACTATCAGTTAATTTAAACCATAAGTAGCTTATTCACAAAATCCATCTAATACACAACTGGAAAATTTCACCTCTCCCAGTTCCTGCCTGTCTTTATTTAAGACTGTCGATATAAGCCAGAAAGATTCCAGCTATTGGTTAAAAACAGTTCATGTATATAAATAACTTGGAGAATCTTTGCCAATTGCCAATAAATAATATATCTGGGTGTCGGTTTTCAAAATGATTCTCAGTCTCGGCAGGTAATTTGAAGTGTGCAGTCGATATGGATGATGCCTAGAGGAGTATATTCACACGTACATACATTCCACACATGTATCTTCATTACAAGTAGGAGCCTTTACCTATAGATACGAAAATGGTTTATAACACAAACAATCTATTGTTATGGTTTAGAAAACATCCAAATAAAGGGAAGCAACTGGTGGTGGTGCAGATCAATGCGCATTCACAAGGAATGGATGCTGGCAAACACTGCACTCTATGGTTTCAGAACCAGAGGCTGGAACTTGGACCTACAGCCACCAAAACATCAGATAAAAATTACTTTCTACAAGGCCTCGGGTGCAAAGAAAGCAAAATAAAGCGGTTCAAAGCAGAAGAGAAGAAAGAGACCTGTAGATGAACTGTGCATGTTGGACAGGCAACATCTCTCATCCTCATACCAGATGCTTCAGACTTGGCACCTATAGAAGTTACATAGTATAATGGAAAAAGATTAATGCATTGTCAACCGAATCTCTTGCGTTAGTTTCTTGAACATCATCACAACAAAATTCAATGACGCGGCATGCTTAAGCAATAACTGTATCAGAATGTCTATTACCTGTTGGTCTCTTGCGATTTTTGTCCATCTCCTCCTGTAACCAAATACATCAATCATGTGCAAATCAGAAAGGCACAAAAAATAAATAAATAAATAAATAAAAAGAAAAATAAAAAGAAAAGAAAGATGCAAATATAACTTCCAACCACCCAAATCTTGAAAACAGAAAGAAGCATGTAGATGAATACATATTGTGATCCCATATTATTATAGTACACAACCCAGAGCTTTAAATTCAATTGAGACAAGGGAGCACTTATATTATATATTCAGTTTTTGACACCCATATCACGTTTCTTATGGGTCTGATATACAGTCAACTAGATTGGATTTGCGGTAGCTTTAAGTCTCCATTGGGGAAGAACTTAAAAATGGTTTAATTTATAAATAGATAGAAATGAATGTGGATAAGAGGATATTAATTGTGGATCCATTGCAATATGTTGTTGAAAATGAAGTTTGACCATTTGTAAACGATTTATAAATTTTGCCAAATGGAGGCTACAATTGATGCCAAAGGTAAAGGAAGAGTCTGAAACAGATTATGGCTTGGCATGAAAGGAAACTGAAGCCATAATATGATCTATCAGTGCATCGTTCAGGGGTCGTGGAAAGTATCCAGGTAACTGAGGGTGGTTGTTGTAATTACGTCAGAAAGGAGTGAGCTTAGCACAGATTTAAAATGCACACTTACTAGGACAGGTGTCAATGTTTGGCTGAATTGGCTTGCCCGTTTGTGGGTTCTTCCATTAAATAGAAATTG